TGATGGACTGTTAGGTTGGTACCATACCTTGGCAATTGTAAATACTGCTGCTGTGACCATTGGGGTGCATGTATCTTTCAGAATTATGTTTTCATTTTGATCGAATGTAAGTGTTTTTTAATATGTATTGTCTCATTTGATTCTGTTCTCGTGACAACTGCAACAGGGAAGTATTGTTATTGCTTCTGCAGGGTTCGTTCCCGTTATAAGTTCACTTTTTTAAACTCCATTTTTAAACTAAGTAACGGCAGGACTGCATATAGTTCCCTGAACAGCACAACAAAGGAAGTTAAAGGAATCAAAATGAAATACACTGAAAAGGAAGTTGAGGTGCAGAGAGCCTGACTCCTAGTCTGCGCTCTTGGGCACTGGATGTCCTCTCTTACCCCCTGCCCTCCTCCATGCATCCACCCGTCCACCCATCCCTTTCTATTTATAACTACTTATAGGCACAATTTCTCTTTAGGTGGGAGGTTGGATTACATAACTTCAACATTTCCTTCCTTCCAGCTCTTGGGTACTATGACGCATGTTTTAGCTTAGACTATGGGGTGATTGTTTTTCGCAGGGTGTTGGTCTTCCTGATTCAGTAGCTTGGACTTATTTAAACATACGTTTCAGAGCTGGCATGGATCTAGGGGACAGTCCAGTTGAAGTCCCTCATTTTATGAATGAGATGAAGTGACTCACTAAAGCTCACCTGCTCCAGATTATTTTTCAAAATAATCTGAATACATGGCAGATGGTGAATAAAGACAACACTCTAGATAGGCAATGAGCAAGAGAGAATGGCGGCTGGGATTTCGAACATCACCTGTTTGTACCTCACTTGTATGTCGAGTCAGTGATGATGACGGTGGTGGTGGTGACTCCTGCAATTCATGGGCTCTCATATCAGAAGGGATTTGGAAAGATCGTCCAATATACATTCTTGCTCCTGCTGACTAATGCTTGATTCATTCCTGAAAGATGCTTACCTTATTTTAGAAAATGCCCTAGAATTCCTGAAACCTTTCTTAGCCTCTGCCTCTTCCTGATTTTAGACAAAGTTCCTTCCTGTTATGTAAGTTTATTCTTTTTCTCCATTTTAAAAACAAATAGCTATAGAGCAGCATATAGTTCCTTGAACCACAGCAAAGGGAAGGTAAATGAAGCAAAAAGAAGTAAACTATCTGGTTATGGGCAACAAGAAATTGATGATGAGTGGGAAGCTGGGTTTGGGGATAGACAAGCTGGAAATAGCTGGCTCAGCCTTCACCGAGATAGAAACGCCATCTTCCCTCGGATCCCTGTATTTCCAGATTCTGGGAATCATGGTGTGGGTGAAGTTGAGTCACTCGGAGAGCATGCCAAAGCCTACTTCTTACTTTGGACTTTCATCTGCAGCAAGATCTCTCCCATTTCCCCTCAGAGCTGAGCTGGGTAAGCTCTTGGCTTCCACCCCTGTCTACACTGGCTCCCTTTGAGAAGGACGAATTGAGACCCAGAAGGAACAATGCTATCATCGATCGAATATCTATGTTAAGTCCAGGACCGAGCTTTAAATATATCACTTGTTCATCACAACAATCTCAAAAGGATGGTATTATTCCCATTTTACAGATGAGGTTCAAAAAGTTAAAGCTGACATCCCCAGGGTTCCCTGGTTGGTAAGTGGAGGTTGGATTGAGCCCAGATCTATAAGGTCCACAGTCACTCACAGGAAGAAGAGGGCACAGGGGCACCATATCTGCATCCCTCCTTAGATTCTGATTGAGGTGGACGTGCTTCCTCATGCCCATCCCCAGGTCTCCTCCTCCTCTAGCCTGTGAACCTACAGCATCATATTCTGACAGCGTGATCCTTTTCTTCCTACACACACAATCGTGGATCAGAGGACGATGTGGTTCATCTCACATATTTACACATATTTAAATCTCCACCACTAGCTTTAACTCATAACAGCAAGTAGGGCCTGCTCTCCAGTCCTTCACCTGCCCTGACTTCCATGCAGTAAGCACTAACTTTTGCACACCTATGTACCTGTAGGGTGGCATCTGCCAGACCACACTTCCCACTATGGAGGGGGGCCCCCAAGGGGTGACTGGGCCCATCCCCCAACCTCCATGTAAGGTAGCGTGTAGGCCTGTAGAACTCCCAGGGTGGCATATGCGTGGTGATTCAGAGGAGTGGCTGCCAATGCATCTGAGGGCAGAGACCCCACCATGCCAGGCTGGGGAGGGGCCGTTCCTCTATTTGGGAGATGGTTTGTTCTCCCCCGCAGCAAGACTGCAGCAGGCAGGGTATAGCAGGGACATGAGTCCACATGGAAGTAGGGCTGTCACTGTGCTTTTTAAAGTCAAATGAATGGCCTTTGCAAACCTCTGCCTGAAATTCCTCCAAAAGGGCTAAGAACAACACTGACCCCACCTTCACCTCTCCCCTAGTCAGTTCAAGTTGAACAAAGAGCAATTCTATTTGGATACAAGAGGATGGGTACAATTCAGGATGGTGGACGTCCTCCCTCACTGGGTCCCCTTGACCTTCTTTAGAATGAAGACAGCTGGGTTTAGCTTTATCATCCTATTCTTGAATCTCAAAGACCATCGTTGGAGCAAAACATGCTCTTTGAAGGGTGAGGACATGGTGAAACAAGGCATCTTTAAATAACAAGGGAAAGGAGTATCTCAAATTGGGAGAACTGGGGAAACGGGCAGGATGAGGATTCAGAGTGGGAGGGCAGGCTGTGTATACCTCTGTTTTGTCAGGGAGAGAAATCGCCTTTACCAGGGAGTGTGATTTCACAGGAGGTACTCCTGACCAATGTGTTAGTCAGCCTTACGTGAATGTCAGGGCCCCAGATTCCTACCAAGTCTTACTTCATAGCTGGCCCCAAGTTTCTCTATTTGTCAGGGAAATTAATGAAAAATAAAGTGATCATTCCTCAGGTTGGTTCTTGAGATGCATACGAGAAGCAGTTTAACCAAACACAGCCTGTGGGGCCAGTCCCCTGGGAGGGCTTTCTCTCTCTGGGGGAGTCTGTGATAAGACATGGTTCGGCCAGTCGTGGGAGACCCATACAGCTGCGACAGGCCAGGTCCTCGCCCAGGGCCAAGGAGGAGGCACCAGGCTCTTGGGCGTGTGTGTGAGCAAGTACCTAGAAACTGTCACACCCCTGCCCCACATGCCACAACAGGGTGGAGCCATCCCGTGTCCTTACCTTAACCTTCTCATCATCTTCAGAAACACGGAGCCTCCGTATGCTGGGTCCCTAAGGACACGGCCCAGAGACGCTCAACAGACCTAAAGGGCACTTTTCCAGCATGGTTTCTTTGATCTGCCCCTCACATCTGGGCATCTTGGACTCCAGCCAGTTCGCATCTCTGAGTAACACGAATTTCCTTAGGGGAAGCAGAGGTCGTGCCCAGCCATGTCTGACCTCCAAGCTTGTACTCACAAGCCCACACCACCTTCCCATATTACCATCTTCCGGAAAGTTCTCAAGTTGCACCATTTGGTCAGGGAATTTCGGAGTAATAACAAGTTGTTATGCTGCTACGTTCCCAAATTAAATTTAAAAACCACAACATTAAATATGATCCTGAAAAACATTTAATCTCTGATGTTTCAGAAGACACTTTAGGGTCTTGGAGAGCTTTAGGGCTGCATCCTGGTTAATGACTCCCGCAGCTTAGGGGGCCGTGTGGGTGGGCAAAGGCACTGTTTGAGGGGAGGGGCGTGCAGCATGGGAGGGGAATCAGGAACCCCAACTCTGTTATTAAACGGCACAGTGACCACAGTGAGTCACTTCCCTTCCCTAGCCGGGGTGCACTGGGGTGTCGCTAAGGCCCCTCCCAGCTCTGACAGTCTATGAATAATTGGCAGAGAATGTATTATGCTGATTTTCCATAGGAACAGAGGAAATTAAAAACAACTTGCAATCGTGGGGACAAGGCCTACAACAGTTCTTCGGTATTTATTTACAAATCCTCTGGGCTTGAGCCCCCATTCCACTGTTGGCCCAGCCTTGGGGTCAGTCCTGTGCAAACTGCCATCAGAAGCAGGGGAACATCAGAGTCAGGGACCATCGTAGTTTATTTACAGCATTTAACAAGTCCATGGACAAAGCCCTCCCTGGTAAAGGTGTGCCGCGTGGGCACATATCCGGCCTTCTCAAACCAACAAGAGTGCTTCTGGCATCTGTCAATTGAGAGTTTTTAATTACAGGGATGTGTCCGATTCTTGGGACTAGGGACAGTGAGAAGACAGCAGAGGAAGAGGTAACAACACAAAACAAAACAAAAACTCCTCTTGGCCCCGGGCCCCGGTCCAGAACTGAGATGGGAATCCTGCAAAGTGTGAGCCCATCTCCACCCATAGCAGGGATTCTGGGAGACCCACATTCCCTGTGACCTGCATTTGCCTAGTGTCCCTAGCACCTCCATCGTCTCATCTGACTGCTTTTCCTCAGGTTTAGCTGCCCCTCTACACTTGGTT